CCGTGAGCGACCGACGACCTGCCCGGTGCCCTCAGGAGGCGGGCTACCCCCTGTGGGAGCGCGCGCCGTTCACCCCGCATGACTCTCGTTTACGTGGGGTACAGCGTTCTGCTTGGATCACACCTCAGATCGGTTATGGCGCTGTGACTCTCATATAAGGATGATGAAGAATGTACTGTGAGGCGTAAAAGGGGGCGCTGGGGGCGGCAGCAACGGCCCATCCCGGGGGAATGGGGGTTTCAGCGGGAGCCGGCATGTGGCATCGCGAGTTACGGTACAAGCTGAAGAGGGGAGAAACAGCACCACTACAGCCCACGGACCCTGCACATCACACAATTGTTTTCAAATCAAATCCACCCACCTGTGCGCCTACCGGCGGGCTCGGGGCCAAACCAAGGGCCACCTTAACAGAAGACGGCAAGTGAGGCTGGGCTTGGACGCCGGAGCCCGGACCACGGACCTCACGTACCAGTGTGCGTGAGGATAAACCCGCGTGTTTAATCCAGATTCTCCTGCGCCCGTTCTCTGGAGATTTTTTTCAGATTTATCATATTATTTTATCTTCTCTTCCAGTTTTATTGAGACCTAACTGACACCCAGCACTGTCCCAGGAGATTCTGAGGCAGCAGGCCCAGGCTGGGGCTCGACCGCCTGAACGAGGAGTGGGGACCACCCTCCTCAGACGTGGCATTTCTGAGCCCTCTTCACACCCGTGTGCACACGAATCTCCCAGGGATGTTTCTAAAATGCAGATCCCGACTCCGGGGCTCAGGGGTGGAGCCCGGCATCCTTCGTTCCCAGCAAGCCCCCGGGGGATGCCGGGGCCGCTGGCCCACACAGCACGCTCTGGAGAGCGCACACTCCGACCACTCGGGGACACGCGGAGAGGCTGGGAGAGAAGTCGCACCCGCACTCACGCCCCCGCTAGGCGAGGACAGGACGGAGGTTACTGCAACCGAACAGGGTTCTCGCTGACCTTGTCGTCCTGTGGCCCGCGGGGCTGCGTGGCCGCGGACCACGTGATCGACCCTGGGCCACCGAGGACGGCAGCATGTCAGCCTCACCACAGATTCTGGGAGTTGTTCATCAGAGCGACTGAGGGATTTGCCAACACTAACCAACGATGTGCCTGGATCTCAGCTGCAACGTTAACAACTTATAGAAAGTCGTGATTGCTACGCACTGGCCTTGCTCGAGAGCCTCCTCGGCCCCGCCTCTGCTCGACAGAGGCCCCTCTACACCCAGGGGCTGCCTACCAGCAGGGGCAGAGGCCTCGATCGCTGTAGTCCACAGAGTGAGTGAGTGAGTGAGTGAGTGTGTGTGTGTGTGTGTGTTTTCTCAATTAACGCACAGTAAAGACAATCACACGTCACTTGGGGTCTTCACAATATTCTGACGTTAAAGAGGGGCTCTTGTCTTCCAGAACCTTCACAGGAAGTGGCCTCACAGAAGGAAATACAAATCCTCCAGCGTTTCAGAGAATAAATGATATATATGTCACTGTTAAATATATGTATTTAAGAAAATTATGCTCAAACCCTAAATAGCCGAATCTCTCATTTGATAAGTTAGGAAACAAAGTGCCACCACGGAATTTCACGTCAGGCGTTTTAACGGAGGCCTCTTATTCGCTATGTACAGGATGCTCTGGTTGTTAGCCGGGTGACCCAAATGACACCAAAAACCAAGGGCGACTCAGAGGCCACTAAACGTTGACGGTCTTGGCCGGCTTCACGTCCTCGATCTCAGAAGACAGCCAGCGGTACGTGCGGTGACGCCGCAGCACCTCGATGGCCTTGAGTTCCAGGGGTGTGGCCTGAATGCCCAGGTCCTCCAAGCCGGGCAGGTGAGGCAGCGTCATGTCTGTGGTGTGCACCTTGGGACAAACAAGAAGCAGAGAGAGCACTGAACACCGGCCGAGGACACGGAGCGCCAGCCTCGCAAACGCTGGGGCACGAAGGCTGGCCCAGGCCCGCCGCCGAGGCTCAGCAGGGCCCGGAGCTCGGAACCACCAGAGGTGGACCACAGAGGGAGCGTCTGTGGAGGAAAAGGCCTGGGCCCCCCGTGTCAGCGCCAGACCCCCAGCGCTGTCCATGAGTGCAGGCACGGACCCGGCGCAGGGTCCAGGAGTCGGTGTGGCTGGGAGTGGATGAGTCTGGAGGCTCAGCTGCAGAACCGGGGCAGGAGCAGAACCCATCCGTCACCGGGGCTCCCCTGCGCCCATTCTCCGAGCACAGCTCTCGGCCTCGGTTTTAACTGCTGGATCGAGACCATGAAGCTGTGATCCGCTACCCGTGGGCTCCAGCCAGACTCCACCTGGCTGACCACTGCTCGCTCTGGACCTAAAACACCGAGCCTGCCTCGTCTGGAGGGGAGAATGAGCTCCAAGAGGCCAAGGACTCCGCTCACCCGAGCGCAAATGAAGAGGACCCGGCTCCATACAGAGCAGCACCCGCCCACATCCGCCCCCTCCCCCCGGGGAAGTCTGCTCCCAGAGGGCCATCGAGCGGTCTCCAGACCGAATCCTGCTGCGCCCACACTTCTCGGTGACGAACCTAAGACGCACCCCAGTGAGATACGCCGGCGGGTGCCGCCCGCCAGCCCTCCCGCTGGGTCTCTCCTGAACGCAAGAAGGACGCCTGAAATGGGCTCAGCTTTCCAGACGCAGCCCATTCGATGGGAGGGGAACGTCTGCCTGAGCACAGCTGTTCCCCAAGGCCTGTTTTTGCATCTCCCCCACATTTAGCTTTTAGGTAACATTCAGGGGGACAATCTGACTGCTTCTTGTTGATAAGAGGCCACTAGGTTTTCAAAGGTACAGACAGGAGAGTGTGTTTATCGTAATTTGTACTCTCCCTAGAGACCGCTCCACGCAGCGGACAAGCTGTCAGGGAGGAAGACAGGTGTGGAAGACACGGATGGGAGGAGCCGGAGCCGGAGCCCGGAGCCCAGCACACAGAGCGGGCGAGAGGCAGGGGAGCCGGTCAAGGGAATGAGGATGCAAACACCTACCGCTTGGACTTGAGTAGGCAGAGCAGAAACAACTATTCCCACGACCCTTCTACAAGCAGAACGTTCTCAATGCTGTTACGAACGCTTTCCTAATAAACGGCTGAACCAGAAGGCAGGCAGGGGGAGGCAGGACACGGCGCGGCTTGAGGGGGCCGTCACACTGGCTGGCGGTCTGCCTCGGTGCTGCCGGCACAGCAGCCACTGGCCAAAGGGGGTGACTGTCATTTAGGTTTAAGCTAATTCCAATTTAATAAAACTCAGATCTTATTTCTGCAGTCACACTGGCCACGTCTCAAGTGTCCAACTGTCACATGCTGCGAGCAGCTACGCTCTGAACACTGCAGACTAGAGAACTCTTCCATCACTGCGGACAGCCCCAGACGGTCCTGTTTCGCTCCAGATGGAGGAAAAGATGAAGTCAAGGGGAATTGCCAGGTTTCTGCCTTGAGTCACACAGTGAGTAGTGATGTCACCGAGTGAGAGGAGAGAGGCCCAGTGACGAGCAGTGTGCAGCCCCGCCTTTGGACACGTCACATCTCAGGTGACTGTCATACAGCTAAGCAGACGCAGGGCCGCAGCTGGTCGGGCAGGAGGTGCAATTCAGGGCTGGACATAGAGCTGCAGTCGCGAGCTGACGCAGGACTAAGTGAGGGTTTTTCAGAGAAAGAGCAAGGACAGAACAGGGCTGAGGGCAGAGCCCGAGGACTTCCAATTTTTGAGATCAGGGAGCAGAGGATGGGAGACCTAGTGAGAGCAGGAGAAGCTTCAGGATGTGGAGACGGCGGGAAAACAGACAGAAATTCAGGGTTCCAAGAGGAGAGTAGGGGCCCCTCTGACCCACGCGGCTCACAGATGGAGTGAGGGAGGTCAGAGCCCTGACCACTGGGTTTGGCGGCACGGAGGTCACAGGTGACCTGGAACAGAGCAGTGTTCGGGGGGACAGGGAAACAAAAGCCTGAAAGGAGTGGGTTAAAGCAAGGAGGAGGTAAGGAACTGCCACGACAGGTGCAGGAGCTCCCCTGAGGAGTCTGATGAACAGGGACACAGACAAACAGGGCGGAGGGAAGATGTCTGCCTTAAAGAAAAGAATCACAGAGCTGCTGAGGCACGCCTGCACACTGCTGGAGGTGATCCAGCAGAGAAGGAAAGGTGGGAAAGTCCAAGCTAGGACCCTGGACAGGCTGGGCGCGGCGGGGGGGTTTGTGCCCGGAGGGGCCGAGCTGTGATGGCAGGACGGCAGGACGGCAGGACAGCAGACAAGCAGGTGAGAATGACCCGGCCCAGCCGCAAGCAAACCGGACGCCCCCTCGCCGTCTGTGCGGCTCGCTGCCCGGCGCCCACCGCGGCGGAGGCTCCCCGCGCTCACACTCACCCGCTCCACTTTGTCCCTCGTCGTCCAGGGCTCAAACGGACTGGTTTCAAAGAGCCGTGCCACCCATCTGGAGAAGGCATAGACAGCGCACGTGATGGGCGTCTCTTTGCTCAACATTCAAGCCAGCCTGCGAGGGCCCAGGGACAGGCGCTGCTGCCGCCGGCTCTCCGCGGTCCCACCGGAGGGACAGCGCATCGGAGGAGCTGACAAAGTGCAGCCGCCCCACCCGAGACAAGCGAAAGGATCCAACTGTGACGTCGGTCACAGTCAGCCAGCTCTAAGCCCAGACAGTCAAACATGCTTCTGTTAGGGCCGCACGACACCGCCAACCGATCCCTGAGGGTTTCTAACGGAGAACGTGAAGACCCGCGGATTTAGCCTTCCGGCACACGGTGTTCTCCTCACCCACACGGATCCACACCTCCCCTCAGACTCTCCCAGCTCCTTCCTAGAGGAATACCGAGGTATCAGGAGCCCCTCCCGGTTACAGGTTCCGAGGCTTCACCGCATCGGACGCGCGTCCGCCGACCCCGGGCCGGGCGCATCACCCACTCCGCGCGGGGCCAGCTCTCAGAAGACACAAAAAGCATCGCTTGACTTACCGATAGGCAAAGTGTGGCAAAGGGTACGGGAGGAAGGGTCTGTGAGCCACGGCGAAGATGTACTGCACCAAGTCAAAAAGGACGTACCGACTGGGCCTGCAAACAGAAAATGCATGGCTCTCCAGGTTACCTGCGTCCCACAAATTTTTGTTCTTAATTTAACAAAGTAGTATTTTTCTTAGAAAAAAAGAAACACATAAGTACCGTAGGAAATGCAGATTAGCACAGGAAAATCACCCCTAGTGCCCCCGAAGAGGAAGTTACTACATTTAACGTACAGTCCTCTCACCCCCTTACAGGCTCTGCTTCTGCACCTGTAACTGCGCACAGGTCACCCCATTCTGTAACATCCTCTCCATTTACTGTTAACTCCTGCCGTCTCCCCGTGGCGCTGCACACCCCAGTGCATTCTTAACAGTGCATACGTTGAGCTGCAGGTAATCATAACCATTTTACTGATTCCCAGGTTTGGGATATTTAAGTTTAATAAATACTAAGCATTATTTTATAAAAGTGTTTTTCTTTTATAAAATGCCTCATGACCATTCCTGCTGTAAACATTTGTACTCACCCATAATTATGGATTTATAATACATTCCACAAGTAGAGCTAGCTCAAAGGCTATTTTGAAATTTTGGAGCTTTTATCAAATACTTCCAAACAGATGACATCAACTTATAGAAAATGCTAGTAGCCCCCTCACCAAAAACGAGTTTAGTCATTAAAATAAAAAATAAGCAAACAAAATTCTGCCAATCTGCCAGATAAAAAAGGTACCTCAATGTTTTCACCAGAAATAGTTTAATACTAGAGATTAGTTTTTTTCTTCATATATTATTGGCCACTTACATTTCTCTCTTTTTCTCTTTCCTGCTGGAGTCCGTTCTTGGAAGAATGGTTTGTAAAAATTTTTATATTTTAATAATACAGTTCGAAGTCTACATATTTTTCCTAATGCTTTTAAGCTGTTTTTTAATCCATAAAGTCAGTCATTCTGCAACGTACCTCTGTACTGACAGAGGGCAAAGGCGTATCACCATTTATGAATAATCTACCCTTTCTCCGCATTTTGAAATGCCACCCTCATCACCTCCTCTATATATTCTTACACGTATTTGAGACTGTTTCTGGATGTTCTGTTCTGCTCCACTGATCTGAATAGTTCTGGGCATAACCTAGCTTTACTAGTGCTTATAATACGCTTTTTATATCATTCTACCCATTTCCTAATCCCTTTGCCTCTGAAAGCCTGCGGCTGCTGAGAGCGGAGTGAAGGTGATTCAGTGAGAGCCTCGTCATTCTGACATCTTCACTGGAAACAAACAAACAGAAGTCAGCTGGGGGAAATACCAGACAAAGCCCTCAAGCAGCTTCCTCCGAGTTCCAGCAGGATGGGTGTCAGGACCACCGCACATAACACACGCTACACCAGAGCACACTGGCGACCTTGCCGGTGACCGGCAACGCTGGGCTCACAGGTAACTAACTGTGTGGTACACTTGCACCTCCGCTGTTGGCAAGCACTTTGTGTTCCATTAACCATGACTCACAGACGGGTCCAAGTGCCCCCGCTCTCAGAGAAAGGGACACCGAAGGCTGGAGATTCATGGTTTGCAAAGTTCCTCAGCAAAACCTTGTCCCCCTGTTCCCCTCCCCACTATCCTAGCAAAGCAAGACCCCTGCTCTGGCTCGTCCCAGTCTCTGCCTTCTCTGTGACTAAACCCTCAGCAAGACAGCACTGCAGAGAACACAGCCCTGGGCTACGTGGCTTCACTTCTGCTTCTGATCAGGAACGTCAAACGAAAGACTCAGAAGACCCGGCTCTGCTTTGCCTGGGAGCGCCCCTGCCTCCCTCTGGGGATCCCTCCTCTCTCCTTCTCTGGCCTGATCTTTCCACCCGACTCTCACCCACCCCAGCCTGCCTTTTAGCTGATGTTCTTGTCTTTTCATCCTTTTCTTAACGGTGTCCTTTGAGATGGAAAAGTTTCCAACTTTGATGACATCTAACGTACCGATCTTTTCCTTTGACTGAAGGATGCTTTTGATGTCGCGGCCGCAAGATCTTTGCCTAACCCAAGGTCGAGAAGATTTTTAAATGTTTCTTCCAAATGTTTTATAGTTTAACTCTTACAGTGGGGTCTCTGATCCGTTTTGAGTTAACTTCTTCATGGGTGGTGCAAGCGTCTGTATTCGTCTCTCTGCACGTGGACTGTTTGTCGAAAGACTATTCCTTCCCCACTGAAGTGTCACGGCGCCTCTGTCCAATCAACTGTCCATGAACACGAGGGCTGACCTCTAGAATATCAGTTCTGCTCAACCGACCTCTATGTCTACTCTTACTCCAGTGCCTCACTGTCTCGCTAATTCTAGCTTCAGAGTGAGTTTTGAGGTTGGGAAGCTCAAGTGCTCCAACTTTATTCTTCTTTGTCAAAATGCTTTTGGCGATTGTGGGTCTTTTGAATTTCTGTTTAAATTTAGAATCAATTTGTCACTTTCTGCAAAACAGCCTGCTTGAATTTTGACAAGATTGAGTTGAATATATAGATCAATTTGGGAAAAATTGCCATTTTAACAATATTAACTCTTCCAATCCATGAACGTGAAATGTCTTTCCATTTATGTAGGTCTTCCTTCATTTTCCTCTGCAATGTTTCAGGACTTTCAGCATACAAATCTCATACATTTTGTTAAGTTTATACCTAAATATTTTATTCTCTTTGACGCTACTGTGAATAAAATAATTTTCTTAATTTTATTTTCAGACTGCTCATTTGCTAATATACGGGGACTGAGTTTTCTGTATTGACCTTGTGCCTCGTGACCCTGCTGGACTAGTTCACTGGTTGTCAGTGTTGTGTATGTGTGTATTTAGTGGACGACTGACACAATGGAGCAACGTCAGTTAGTAACTATGAAAGAGCAAGGAGCAAGATTAAGGTCGTGTCTCTGCCTCAGCCTCAGAGAAATAAAGTCTCCCCTGGGGCTGAAGAGACAGAGAGAGACGTGTGGGTACAGCCCTACAGCTTCATACGGAAAAATGCCTAAGCTGCCACGTTTATCTCACTGCTCCCATCGCCGTGCGGGACAAGGATGACTCCCTGCAGCCCGGCAGAGTCCGGAACAGTGGTGCAGAGGGGAAGAGGATGACGGCTAACTCGTCCCAGAGCCGTGCCCCCTGAGAGTGAGCCAGGCTGGTAAAACCCCTTCTGCTCCCCTGCCCCTTGGCGTCCCGGTCCGAGCACCTCCTGACTGATGTCTTCTGAGCCCGGTGTGCCATGGAACCTGTGCCCAACACGCTTTTCTGCGAGTGACTGTCCCAGAGTATACAGCCGCCTACACGCTGACGTGCTGAAACTGAACTCAGAGAGACAGGCACCTTACCGCGGCTGGCTGACGTGGAAACCCAGTACAGAGGTTTTGGCACTGAAAAAAAAATTGACTAAATTTGTAGTGACAGTGAAACGTACATATACAGGGCCCCACGGTGCTGGGAAGACACGCCACGTCTCCTGGCTGAAAGGAGCGTCTTTTCTTTAGAAGCAAATAGGATTCTGGGCCGGTCAGCAGGTGAATTTGGTGCTTTTCAACGTGGCAGAATGAGTCTTAGTTTTTTAGTTTTAAGTAATTCAGTGAAAAGGCCCAAAACCTAGCGGCGACATGACTGAGTAATTCAGCTAAGTCACACAGCTTAACTGCGCCCCATTTCTCCTGACAGCGAATTGCAACAAGGAGAACATACTGCAAATGGTCAGTCCTACAAAGCACGGGAAATTGTACCCTAAACCAGCCATTTCCACTCTTCTGGGGCACGACGATGCTCTATCCAAATTAATTTGATTTTTGCAACTGTGCTCACACCCCGGAAGTGTTTCAGAATTCACAGCAGTATCCTTCTGAATACTGAAAACACCACTGGAGTCTGACAAAGCCCTCCCTGGGGGTCCCTGGACTGTGCGTGTGCAACAGCCCAGGGCAGCGCTTCCCAGGCTCTGGAGCCAGAGGAATCTTTCACTCAAGCAGACGGCCAGGTTCTCTCCCGCTCTGACCTGAGCTAAGCGCTCAGGCGCTCCTGACAGGGTGGCCCCTGGACAGCTCTTCTAGACATGCTGGCCTCAGGGCTGAGAGTAAGGCTCCTGGAACAAACACCATCAAAGAAAGAGACCGAGAAATGCACCGCACAAACCGGCTAGCGGTTAGCGATGCCTTCGGAAAGCACTTTGCCGTAAACCATCACGGCTCTTTTAACAGGCAGCACAACTTCACAGTCAAACTCCAGCCACCTACCCGACAAAGGCGAAAGATTTCCCTCTGGCATCCGGGTCCTTAATTGCGTTAATGATCCCTTTGGCCACGTCCACAACCTGTGAGAAGTTATAACACACTCTGAGTGAAGAGAGAAACAGAGATGGGGAGAGGAAGGGACAAAGCGAGGAAGAAAGGAAGAGGGGGAGGGAGGGAGGGACGGAAGGAGGAAAGCAGGCAGGCTACATCAATCACAGCAAAAAGAACGACACAATTACAATGACGGCACTGTCTCTTTTCAGAAAGCTCCTGAAAGAACCCGCTTCTCAAGAGCTCAAAGCACCTCCTCGCTAGAAGGACTGCCTGAATGTTTTCTCTCGTCAGAACATCTCCATCAGCTCATCGTCAGGTGGTGCCGAGACTTCTCTGACCTGCCTCTCCCGCTCTCCAGCCTCACCCCTCACTCCTGCCCTCGCTCCGTCACTGCACCAGCACAAACGGCCTGGCTGAACCGCGTGGGGCTGCCAACATTTTACCATTTTGACTTTTAAAAATAATCATCACGTGATTTTAGTCCCCATGGTTTTCACTGGTCGCCGGGGATTTTGGTCCCCAGGGTATACTGGCAAATGCCTGGAGACATTTTTAATGGTCCCAGCTGGGGGGTGGGGGGCTACTGCCATCTGGTGGCTGGAGGCCAGGAACGCAGCTAAATGTTCCACCAAGGCCCCTAAGACAAAGCATTATCTGGCCCAAAACGTCAACAGAGCCCCAGCTGAGAAACCCTGGTTCAGCACCATGTGGAATCCAACACGCTGCCCCACCTCAGGTCCCTGTGCACGCTGCTCCCCACTGTGTGGGGCACTGTGCCCCAGCCCCGCATCTGACTTGCTATTAGTCATCTTTGGGGTCTCACCTTAGATGTCATTCCTCTGGGAGGCCTTCCCTGACCCTCAAGTCTGGAGCAAGCGTCCTCTGACATAATTATGAGAAACTCTCCCCCTGTCACAGCACTGATCAGGCTGCTGCGTGACCACTGCTTTGCGGACCTGCCTCTGACCCAGCCCAGCCCGAGGACAGCAATCTGGGCCTGCGCCATCAGCATCCGCATGCCCCCAGTGACGAGCGGCGCGCCTGGGCACTGAGGGCGCAGTACGCTTCTCTGAAATGAATGAGCAAGTGGAGACACAGCGAATACGGGTACCTCTCAGGTCACCTGAGCGGCAACTGGTGGCAGCAAGCTGACAAAAACGGAAGGATGGATTACAGGATTAGGACAAAACCAGAACGCCGACGCCTGAGTCCTGAATGCAGGGAAAGCTCGTTTACCCGGGCACTTACATAGACGGGCTGTTTCACTGTCTTCTTGCCCAGGGCGATGAGAGGGACGCCGCCAAACCAGCGAATATCTGGCAGAAGAAAGAGAACCGTTCTTAGAGGGTCCAAACTGCCACAGGACCCAGCTCCGGGGCAGCACCGCCAATCTGTGTGACGGAAACCATGCAACAAGCGCAGCCGGCTCTGAGGGCGCGGACGGTCTCACAGGGAGCAGTCATTTGTTCTTCACGCAACAAACACGGAAAGTAAAAGGGTCAGATACTGAAGGACACGAGGTCAAGGGCCTGGCTACTTGTCCTCTACTCTGCAATGCGGGGTGCGTGGCCACTCCCGAGACTGGGCTCTGACCGCACCCGTTCTGAGAAGCACAGGAATCAGTGTCATCAGTACAAGGCAGGTAACTCAGAAAAAGATGCCGTGAAAATGGGAATTTAGTGTCTGACGAATGCAGCACCACAAATACGTGGAAAACAGAAGTACTACTTAATATATGATGCTGAGACAAATATTCAATACTCTACTATTTGAAGGAAAAAAACAAAGAAAGAAAGAAATGGCTCACATCTCACCATAAACCAAAACAAAATTCCAAGTGGCCTAAACATAAAGGTAAAAAAAGATAGAAAAAAAAACTTCTAGAAGTAGAAATTATTTATAAGAGCATCAAAGACAATAAAATACTTAGGAAAAAACTTGACCAAACTGGCTAAAGACTTGCACACAGAAAACTACAAAGCATTGCTGAAAGAAAATTTAAAAGACACACACAAAAACGGAACACCCTGTGTTCATGGACCGGAATACTTAGCACTGCTAAGACGTCAATACTCCCGAGAGCAAGCTACAGATTAACGCGATCCCCATCAAGACCCCTACGGTGGCTTTTGCAGAAAGATAGAAAACTCCTTTCTAAAATTCTTAACGGAATTTTAAGAGGCCCCAAGTGGCCAAAACAATCTTAAAAAAGAAGAGTTGGAGGTGCCAGACTCTCTGATGTCAAAATTTCCTACAAAGCTACAGAAATCAGTGTGCAGTGATCAGAAGAGCAGCACAAGGGCAGACAGAGGCTGACGGAATGAAGCTGAGAGGAAAACCCCTGCGCATCTGCTCAAGTAATTTCTGACGAAGTGCCAAGACCGTCCAGTGGGGAAACAAGAGTCTTTCCGCAGGTAAGGGTGCTTGTGGACCTGCCGTCCCAGACCCAGTCAGCCCCAGTTACAGTCCCTCAGCCCCAAGGCCGGCTCTTCCCAGGCATCCAAGCTGCTTCTTTTGATAAGGAGTGACAAAGACCCGGAGAAGGACCAAGGTGACTGGGCCGGTATAACCTTTGGGGAGAAAAAAGGCAACTGGGGGAGAAAAAAAATATAACCCCAGTCTATCAAGTCAGAGAACACTGCGAGCTCGTGCTTCGCTTCAGCCTGGTTAACCAGCGCCCCCTTCACCCACTAAGAAGACCTACTTGCAAAATAATTGAGGAATCTATCCTCTCTTCCAAAGGCGTCCGATGGCTTTATGATGGTGGCTTCTGGAAAGGC